TTATTTAAAGTTTTTCTTTTCTATAACAATTAGACAAAATTGTCTTCTCTGAAGATAAATTGAATCCTAAATTTATGAGCAATAGAAAGAAAAGTAAGAATTAAACATCATTAGTGATGCTTTTGAATCAAAGTTTAAGGGTTGAATTGAAAAAAATTGAGAAATTGTAGCAATTCAATTGCCTAGTAGAGAAATTATGAATAGTCAAAATGAACCTAGCCTCTATTTGAAGGTCCAAACCAGATGCAGAAAAAACTTTATGATGATTAGATCTATGGAGAATCTTTCACAATTATCTTGACTGTTGAGTACTAATAACTAACTGTATAAGATTGTTGAATAACTCAAGAATAAAAAATACGTATTTGATAAAGTTACTTGTAATAACCAATTTATTTCGGTCAATACGATCCGTTTTGTCAAAATTATATGACATATATATTAATAAAACAACTCACACATGGCCTTTATATTACGTAATTATAATACAAACTTTTTATTGTTAATTCCTACAAAATAGAAAAGACCATCTCTCAATATAGACGCAATATAAATGTGTAATGTCTTTTTTATTTTAGTTAAGCCAGACTATTCCTTTATATAATCACGTTGAAATAATACTGAAACAATTGTTACCCAATGCTCATTTGCTAGGAAAAGAAAAATTAATCAAGCAAATATTAAATACGATTCAATCGAAACCATGGTACCTACTGGATTTACCATACTGGTCAAGCGGATATGATCTGAAATAAATAAGGAGAATTATACTTATTGTTCATAAAAGATCACAGTTTAAATAATTCGAAACAAAAAAGCATTTTATTCGGAATCGTACCAATCAAATCTGAAAATAAAATAATATACAATAAAAAATAAAAGTACAATTAAAGAAAATAATTTAAATAAATAAGGAATTAATTTTAAATAAAAATTTAGAATATAAAAAATAAAAAATAAAAATACAAAAGAAATAGCAAAAAATTTTTTTTTAATTTTTCTTTTTTCTTTTGGATTAGCCGAAGTTCCACGGCGTCGAGCAAAACTTCAACTAGATTTGCATTATCCGTAAGGATAATGCCGTACTCAAGCGCGGCGTCAACCGCTCCCGGGTAATATCCGGAAGGGGCCACTATTATCCCGATGGGGTTGTTTTTCTGTCTATACACCACCCCGAAAAACTCGTCCACGACCTTACGACCTGAAATCGATTTATTGCGTTTCAATTGCGTTTCATCTTTATTGATAATACAGTACATGTATTTTCGATACCATACCTATTTTACAGGCCCAATTTTTGCATTGGATAACATATGCTATCCCTGCCACTACTCCGGAAACATCTATACCACCATCGCCGGGTCCTCTAGAAAACAATAATATAAAAAATGAGTACTTTGCGCCATTATCATCGAGAGTCAAAAAAAACGTTCACAGTCGTTTGCGACTGAGGCCACGGAGTGCTTTCGATTCACCATAAATCCTTTTTGGAAAAGACGTTCGGCAGAAGAACATCAGAAATAGGGAAGAACGTTCACGGTCGAAACTGTGGCCACGAAGAGCTTTCAATTCCCCGATACTTTA